AGTGACTTAAGATGTTAACGGCGCAGTGCAGTGACATTCTGAACACAGTATTTCTCTGTTCATTTCATATCATCGTTTGTTCGTGTCCTTATCTCCTCCTGGCTGTTTGACCTGACGTGCTGCAGACTGCTCGGCCTGCTCCACTGTGAAATGATTTGGGTTTTATACCTTCACACAATAGATAGCGCAGAGAACACCTTCAGATGAATCGCTGCCACATGGAGGGACAGGCCTATGCAGCACTTCATTCCCCCCTCTGTCGGTTACTTTGCATGACAATGGCCAGGGGTACGGGCCTCGGTTTATTTTTCAAACTGCACAAAGGAGCAAAATCCCATTTCTATTCTTCACCGTAGTCCACATATCTTTTCCACCTCGGTTATATTTCAGAACATTGACAAGTCCGGCGGCTGCGGATAATGAGGCCGTTTAACCCTTCAGTGTCTCTGTCATTGGCTTTAAAGCAGTGAAAGTCTGTGTCGAAAGAAAAACAACTGTGGTGTTTTATATAAAGATTCCAACCAAGTTTAAACGGAACATATGAACTAAATATAGTCATTCTATTAGAGTATTCCTCTATAAGGAGCTGACACATATTTATTAGTCTGGCTTAAACTATTTACGCAGTGATTAGCCTGCGGTAGCCTTTCGCTCTCCCTTCATTATGAAACAATAATGCTCGTTGAAGGTAATATATTTTAGACAACTGTTTAATCTTTATTAGTAGATGAAGTATGATTTTTTTCAGCAGCTCAGCCAACAATAAATGGGTCTGCAGGCCGCTGATGTGACAACCCGATTAAAAAGGTCCTAACTTGGGGATTTCAGCGCTGTTTATTTAGGCCTACGTGCTCGCTTCCGCTTCCTGCATATTTTATTGCTGTTCATTTCACAGTCTCTCACCGTTTGAGCTTGATGGAAACTGAACTGATCCGCACTAAAAGTCCTGTGTTTAAACCCAGGCCCGCTGACCTCTTCCATCCACCGTCCTGCTGTGTCTTCACCGTGAAATGTCACAGAGCTGTTTTCTTATTTGTACCTCTCCAGCAGCTCACTCACTTGTACTCGTCTCACATGCGTGTGTGCGATTTGAATACATAAAAGCACGTTTGAACAAATTAGTAAGTGTATTTAACGGAATAACGAGAAGCTGCATTTAATGTGCTAGTGTTTGTCTGTCTTCTTCATTTTATGCTGAATCATCTGAATGTAGACTAAGAAAACCTGACTGCCCCCCCCCCAGTGTCGTTTAAATAGCTCTGAGCTTGGGCCAGCACGTTGAACTCTACCTGTAGCCGGAAACACTGGGCTCCCATTGGTGAATGACACCTCAACACACCTTGATAGATACCTGAAATGACCCGGGGCTGAGCAGGTCAAGGTGACAGATATATGCCCACACATGCGCAGAATAGAATCGAGTAGAATAGAGAGTGTGCTGGATTGTATTTGAACTAAAATACTAGAGAAACTACAGAACTAGAAAAGAAGCAGACAGGAAGCAGGCTCGAAGCAGGGCGACAGTAACTCTCAGTCCAGCCCGAAGTGTCTGCACGCTCGCTGCCATTGGTGTCCGGGCTGATGATGTATGAGCAACTTTTGGAGGAAACGGAGAACAGCATTATTGCCTGCAGCAGGGAGGGAGTGTCAGTGTCATAAAATCAATGCGAGCAGTACAGGAGCAAATAGAGATTACATGGAAAATATAGCAGGAGAAACATTTCTACTATACAAGTATAAGACCATTTACCTGAAAACGCATCAGGACATTTCTCACATATTAATCAATTTATATTTGATATTTTTCCTGCATATGAGTGAAATACACTAAAACAAAGTGCATGGTGGAAAATGGTTAGGTGAGAGATCTTTTTTGGTAGATAGATAGATAGATAGATAGATAGATAGATAGATAGATAGATAGATAGATAGATAGATAGAGTGTACTGATCAGATCACTTTTTAAATTAGTTAAATAGGAGTTTTGGAGGCTGAGTACAATTCATTTACTACGCTGAGGAGACATGCATTCATTTCTTCATTGCACCATCCATCCTTCAGTCAGTTCATGGCCGTTTTGAGAGGACAGTGTTTCCCTGTGCCAAACGATTTGTCTTCTCTTTTCTTTCATTAAACAACTGTGTTCATTTTGTTAGAAAGATCCACGGTTGGAGCTGCCAAGGTTTTCTTTTCCCGCCTTTCGGGTGATTAAGATTGTTGGTCTAATTAAATTTTGTGTGGGTATTACGCGAATGGAAAATTGCGTGGCTGTTTGGATTTTGAATTAAACATTCGCTTTAAAGGCACTCGTGAAAAAACTAGACAGTTTAAATTGATAAGAAGAGAATGGAGATCTTATTTTCTGTGACAGAGGCCTGATGTTTCCATTTAAATCATTCCATTAGCAATAACAGTGTATGGCATTTGACATAATAGAAATAATAATAATGTTAGATTTTACTAAATTGAATGTAATATTTGACAGACCTCAGTTTTTGTCAAGACTTATTTCTCGTTTGAATCTGTATATGGAGACAGTTAACTGGGCCTGTAATTCATCTCAGACCTCGTCTTCCCTCTCGCCTCATTTTTATTGCGTAAAAGTGAAACCTTCTATTATTTTACCGGTCTATTTGCGAATTAGCTATTTACCCATCGCCCTTGACTTACAGGAAGTGTTACTATAACTTCATTTCCCAGATCCCCACCAGCACCGAGCAGGTCAGGGATCATAAACAGTACAAGTGGATGAAATGATTCCAGTGTGGCTATACGACAGGGGGTTTATGAAAGCAATAAAAGTCTATCAGCGGTGTAAACTTGTGCCTCCAGAGAGCCACTGTCTTCTATATCTACCCTGTAGATCCGGATTTGTGTAAAAATCATTAAAACAATCACAAATTCGCTTCTAGGGGAGTATATAGTGGATTTAAACACGACGGCAGCGATGGATCAGACACAGAGAGGAGAGGCCTGTGGCTGCCTTTGAGTTGTGATGCCATTGTTCAGTCGCCGTTTTAGATTTGAATTCGTTTGTAGATGAATAAAAATCACTAATAAGATTAGGTTCATGCGTCTCCTTTATATACAGACATGCGCCAACATGTTTATTTCAGGGCTGTTTGCTGGTTAAGTGATGATTTTTAATTGTTCTTCTCTATTGTCTGTGTCTGTCGTGTCTATTCTCCTCCAAGGTGATGGAAACTCAATCCAAGTTTTGTGCTTTTCTTTTCGATCATCCACCAGCCTCACAGTTTTAAAGGCTAACTCCAGGTTGAACTGCACTCTGGTTATTTATTATTTGTCTGGTTGAAAAATGATGCGGGCGGCTTTACTTTTCTAGGAAGGCGTACTGGGGGTTTGGGTGTGTTTTGTGTGTGTGTGTGTGTGTGTGTGTGTGTGTGCGGGGGCGTGTTAGGTTAGATTTCGATTTAGAGACGGTCAATTTTCTCGAAGCACAGGACCTGGATATCTCCATCATCTGACGGTGTGTCTCTGTGTGTGCGAACACCTTTAGTCCTCTGATAACACTACAGAAAGTGCACACACGCCTTCTTTTGATTAGATTTTGGGGGGAAACATCTCTTCTGCTCTGTTTACTGCACTGCTGTGTTTTTATTGTAGGCCACATTTTACCCTTTTTTCTGCCTTGATTCTGTTGCATGCAGAAATTGCATCAATCAAATGTGTTGGAATTAAAGGGAGTTAACTTGTACTTGTTAATAAATATAACAAAATATGTTACACATACTGTGTAGGCTAATACAGGTTTAGGCCTATACAGTTTTTTTTGTTCCTGTGCTTGTTTTATAACAGTAAAAGATGGTGAGACTGTTACAGAGCAGTGTGTTAATAGTTGAAATGAAGAAACCAAGCTATGGAAGTGTGTCTGGGTGAGAGGTTGGACAAAGAGCCACGGATCTCTGCCCACTAGTGCAAAACCCAAGGGTAAGAAGGGTTTGTGGTTCCTTGATGTTAATATCGGAACGTGGACAGAAATAAACCAAAGCAAAAGGCGAGTCTGGCTGAGGGTGAATTACAATGCGACAGGGGGTTACGTGTACAATGTTCGCCTGTTGGAGCAAAGCGAGTTTTAAAAAACAGAAACCATACTGAAGTCGTTCTTAATGCAAAGGTCTGCTGGTGATTTAGGAGGCAGTGTAACCTGAATTAGTTGATGAATTTTCTATCGATCCTAAACAAGCCAGATTTATCTCTGACATGGTGCTGCTGCTGGGTGGCGGCGCAGCACCAGGCCACCCACTCTTCGTTATTAGCGATTAAAAAGAATGGGGGGAAAATAAGATGAAAAAATGAGGGTTGGCACGCACGTCCCCGCACATACAGCCAAATATACACAGAGGGTGGTGCCGGCGCCACTTTAAATCCCCTCAAGCGCTTTCTCTCTGCTGCTTCTGTTTTTTTCTGGTTTCTTTCTAAGTTGTGTTTGAGGCTCCAGCCAGACGTCTAACAGGGGGAAAAGGTTCGTTTGCACTAAGGCAGGACTGCCTTCTGCACCGTACTCTGTTGCTCGAATATGTCCGTGCGCGTGTTCCTCAGCTGGAGCGGAATGTATTTTAAGCGTGTCAGTCGTTTTGTTATTGTTGTGATTCTCTGGCTGCTTAGGGCGGCGTGCGTGCCGTCATGCAGTGCAGAGAGACATAGAGAACAGGGCATGGGGGGGCGCGGGGGGGGGGGGGGGCAG